AAAAAAAAAAAAAAAAAAAAAAGTAGCGGGCTACATAAGACACAAAGGCGTGAGGGGCACAGGCTTTGATCAGGCCTTGGGTTTATCATTTACACAGCACCCAACTGTGCCTCGTTTCTTCAGGACTCACACAGACCCAGCACACAGGAAGTGTTGGCAGTATGAAGCTCAAATGGCACGAGTTTACCTGGTAAACTAGATACAGATTTCAGAGGCAGACACTGGACATCCTCACAGCTGCATGGAAGCCGTGGAGGATGTTTCAGATCGTGAGGCCTGTGGGAGCAGGCAGGAGCACGGCGGTGGAGGGGACGTCCTGTGACACCCAGAAGTAAATGTTAAAGGAGCCCATTTCACAATATAGTGGCCTCTGGGCTCGGACGGAAGTGAAGCAGAGGTTGGGGTAAGAAAAAACAGCAATCTTAAAAACAAGCAAACAAACAAAACAAAACAAAAAAAGAAAATCAGCAATCCTACCACTACCATGCACGCTGACCCTGAGGAAACGCTTCCTTCCACCCTGTGCAGAGACCCTCAGGGTGGCGAAAAGAGAAAGCGCATCCTCTGATCAAGCAGATGACCGTAAATCATCCCTCTGGCTCAGTCTCTACCTTGGTCATCAAGGAGAACCCACGCCTCTTATCACACTTGTCCCCTAAACAGGAAAACAAACAAAAATCCCTCCGTATGTTGTATATTCAGCCAGTAAGGGACTTTTATTCATTTGCTGCATTCAAATTATACAACGTAAGGAGTAAAGGAGCATGACACATCATAAACACCAGCGTCAAACACAAAAATACCAGCTTCACATATTTCCTAAACTCAAAATTCATGTTACAAAAGCAAATTAGGAAAAAGGGATGATACAGTGGCATATTTTCTTCTTCCTCGATGGAAGTCACAACAATTAGTATTTATTCCCCTGTGAAGTGCATTGTTCTAATTTCCATTATCAAAACAGGAAATTCTCCCCTGGAGGTCACCGAAAACTATGTTATGAAGCTGTGGGGTTAGCAGCATTTTTGGTACTAGGACAAAAGGCGAAGCAGGTCGTTCTGTGTACAGAGGTATCGATTCATGAACAGCACAACAACAGGCTTGTTTCACTATTACCAAGTCTCCTGGGAGGCTCCCAAACGCTTTATTTTTATCCAGTGGATCCTGAGGTCAGTATTCTCACAGCTGGGCAGGCTGGGCACTTCTAGGTAGGAAGGCACGTTACAAGAGAAGTTTCTACAAAATAAAAGAGAAGTTTCTGGCAATGGAACCTTTCTGCAGTTGGCACCCATACCAGATGGACTAAGTGTGGTTTTCCAGAAGAAATCTAAGTTCCATTTCGGTAGCTTCATCTATTCTAGGCGGTTATTTTTCAATATTGCTTCAACGCTCAACTCCAAAAAGTCAAGGAGAGGAAGAAATGACCTTCATCTCTGTGGTCTGAGATTCTAACCCACCACTCCTTCAGCAGAGAGAGACTGAGCCCTACTGGTGCCAGGCTCTGCACCCCTCAAGGTCTTTGTGAAGTTGGCCTGTTGGCTTTAGTAAGAATAAGTCAGGGGCGGCTGGATGACTTAGTCGGTTGAGTGTTCAGCTCTTGATTTTGGCGTGAGTTGTGATCCCAGGATTGTGGAACTGATCCCTGTGATGGGCTCCATGCTGAGCGAGGACCTTGGGATTCTCTTTCTCTCCCTCTGCTCCTCTCCTCCACCTTGCCCTCTCTCACTTAAAAAGAAAACAAAGGAGTAAGTAGTGGTAGGGTACGCTGGCCAGTTTTTTCTTTAAGGTTTTATTTTTGGGGGGTGCCCGAGTGGCTCAGTCAGTTAAGCAACCAACTCTTCATTTCAGCTCAGGTCACGATCTCATGGTTCATGAGATCAAGGCTTGCGTGGGGCTCTGTGCTGGCAGCGTGTATGTAGGCTGCTTGGGATTCTCTCTCAAAATAAATAAACATTAAAAAAAAAAAAAGATGCTATTTTAAGTAATCTCTATACCCAACGTGGGGCTCGAACTTACAACCCTGAGATCAAGAGTCACATGCTCTACTGACTGCTGAGCCAGCCAGGGACTCTCCCCACCCTCTCTTTTTCTTTTAAAGATTTTATTTGTTTGCCAGCTTTAATATTTTCCCTTTTCGACCTGTGGATTCAGACTTGACTGTACAACCACACAGCTGTATTTTTCTTTGGCAGGGTTATTAATCCTTCATCTAGAATGGTGTAGGTATAAAATATAAATTGAAAAAAAGGTAAATTATTGTATTTGCATCAGAAATTGAACTTTTTATCACAGGATAATTTTCATGCAACATGAAACTACTCTATAAAAGCTATTTCTGGTCTTTTTTGCTTTACCAATTGGTAAAATTTCCACAAAATCATAATGCATCAAACTATATATAACAAGCTTGCATTTGTAACATAGAAACTATGACTTCGATTATTATTTGGGAGTTCTACTTTGGTTAAAATCCAGACAAAAGGATGAGAAAAAGTGTAAGAGAGTAGACCCTTTTACTGCTTAAATTCACACATGGCAGGTTCACGGTGGGCCAGAGCAGGAACAGAGGGGCTCTTGAGAAACTCAACAGAGAATTTTAGAGTGAGATCACAGAGTGCTCTTCTGAGATTCTGAGCCAGAAGGACCGCTGAGCTGACTCAGTGAGGCATTTCTCATGTTCTTAGGACCTTCGTTCATCTTTTGATTATTAAGCTGTCAAGAAAGGCTAAGAGCACGGACACTTAATAAAACCCTTGAACAGGATCCCTCGTTCTCCGCGGTCCTCTCTGTTCCAGGTAGCATGATAACATCTCTGAAGTTGTTCCTGCAGAGACGGCAAAAGGGCAGACGAACAGAACCACGAGAGGCCGTGCTAAGAGAACACACATAATGTACAACCTTTTCATTTACTACTGATTTTTTACCAAACTTGTAAGCTTTAGTTTATGAAACAGGATGGAATTCCCTTCCCCAGACTGTTTCTCTGCCTCTGGTGGGCATCAGAAACACCTGTGCACCTTTCTGACTCTCTGAGGGCCTGGACCTTTCTCCCAGCCTCCAAAGGTAAAGCTCCAGGGAGGTGCGTCTTGGCAGAGCTGAAGTGGCCAATTTCTGACGTGTGCCAGAGAGACTGAATGGTGAGCACGGTTTCTGCCAGGCATATTCACAACCTGTATCCTGCGTAGCTGAAGATGACCGATCAGCGGTGCATTTTACATGATCACTACTTTAAGAATTGTTTCCTTGGCCCCCCTCGGTGAAGAATGCCTAGAAATGGGCACGCATAAAATGTTAATTCCCTTTCTAACTGAAGTTAAGATTTTAAATGGACTCTTGCTTTCGCACTTTGCTCCGCTTATGTGGTAGACCAGAGAGGTCCTTTCTGACTTATTTGTAGTTAGTACAGTTGAATGTCTTCTGGTTTTAGTGCTGCTAATCCCTTGTTTTAAAGATTAAAGGATTTGTACATTCTTTAAAAAAAAAAAAAAAAAGACCATCTTGAAAACATCCATTTTGACAATTTCCAATAAAAAGATAGATGTGGGGGTGCCTGGGTGGCTCAGTCAGTTGAGCATCCAATTCCTAATTTGGCTCAGGTCATAATCTCACAGTTCACAGAATCGAACCCTACGTTGGGCTCTGCACTGACAGTGAGGAGCCTGCTTGGGATTCTCTCTCTCCCTCTTTCTCTCTGACCTTCTCCCGCTCGCTCTCTCTCCAAATAAACATTTTTTTTTTTTTTAAAAAAGCACTACATTAAAAAAAAAAAAAAAAAAAAAAAAAAAAAAAAGACAAACCATATTTTCATCTACTGGTGATTTTTTACCAAACTTTTAAAAAGCTTTAGTTTATGAAACAGGATCACGATTCTTCTTCCCAGTCACTAACACCCAGACTCTTTCACATTCCCAACAGACAAGTCCAAAGTGCAGGAGTCACGAGTTAGCTTCTGCAGTGTTTTTCTGCAAGGGAGCCAGGACGACCCCAACATTCCTCTCCTCACTCTCAGGGCTGTACAGGTCATGCTTTTCGATATACTCTCGGACAAGGTCTGGCACCAAGTAGCGAATGCTCTGGCCCCTTCTGAGGGCTCGCCGGATCTTTGTGGAGGAGATGTCATTGGTGATCCATTCATTTACCAGGTGAATGTTGTTCCGGTGTTTCCACAGTGCGTCGGATTCATAGATGAATTTCTCAGCATCGTTTCCAGCCCGAGTAATACAGATGAGCCCGTAGTCTCCTACAATTCGGGTGATATCCTCACTCTTCCACAGATTGGGAACACCGAACGATTCCAATAAATCTGCCCCACACAGCAGCTTTACTTTTGGCACATCTGGGAAGAAGAAAACACAGCTTCAGGGTCTGCTTTGCTAATAACTCCCTGAGTCAAAATGAATGCATCTATGTGTTTTTCTGGCTAGAGGGTTCATAGTTTTGATCCGAATCAGATTCTCAAAAGAGATCTAGGAACTGCAAAAGTTAAGGACCGCTGCAGGAGAAGTAAGTTCAAGGTGCCTTTTCCTTCCTCTCCTTCCCTCCCTCCGGTCCCAAAACTAACAAGGGGCATTTTCCAGGCAGCCAAGCATCCTGAATATGAAATGAAAATACAAAGGGGGCTTGCTCGGCACTAGAATCTTATCCACTCCAGTCGGTAAGTCTTGACAAAACATACAGACCTTTTGTTTTTGGCTCTAGCAATTCCTTTTGACCAAAATCTTGTCTTTGTTCAGCCCACTTCCTTTTCCGTCCAGGCCTCTCCAGCCTAGGTGAGTCCTGCTGGCGATCACAGCTACTGGCCTCCAGTTTCTCCTGATGGTGTCTAGAAAACAACAAAGCAGTAGAACATCCTCTTCTCACAACATTCAACCAGAATACTGTCTCTCTGGAGATGGCTTAGAGCCTCTGGCCCAGGGTCCAGGCTGTGTCATATTAAGAACATGTAAACCACAGGTACACCCAAGGCCTATCAGTCAGAATGGATGCTGACCAGCACCCAGTACTTCCGGGTCAGCGTGGAGGCTGGCCAGTAGTGCCCGGGGACGGCTAACGGGCATAGAAAGTAAGGAGATCCTGGGAACACAACAGATGGTAGCGATTACTATTCTAAGCTTTATGTGTGTGTCACAATAATAAGAGTTAACATTAGCTATTTATTACGTGCTAAGCACTCCACTAAGTCCTCTGCATGGATCATTTGATGAAATCTTCCCAACATCCCATGCCATAAATATCGTTATTGTTATTATTATTCCCGTAATGGAGGGAAGTGAAAGCTTAGAGCTGTAACTCCAGCTCTTGGCAGACTCCGTGGGACGCAGGAGGCATTCAGTAACAACCTGACTGAGTGAATGCTCTGGCTTTTGTAAAGCAACTCTATTGGGGCACCTGGCTGGCTCAGTCGCAAAAGCGACTCTTGATCTTGGAGTCGTGAGTTTGAGCCCCACGCTGGGTGTAGAGATTACTTCAATAAATAAAACTTAAAAAAAAAAAAAGTAAAGCAACTCTCTTATTGCCAGCATTATATCAGAACTGCTCATTATCCCCATTGAGAGAGAACTCTAATTTGCCCAAGGTCGCTTAGCTTATAGGTAGCGGAGCCGGTGCTTGAACCCCAGCAGTCTGCTTCCAGAGCCCACACTCTTGACCGCTGAAGAGTGTGGCTTCACCTAGTAGTGGAGAGCCACAACACCAAGGATAAGGTCCTAGAGAGGACAAGTGCCCGAAGCCTAGAAGGAAGGGACCACAGGCGGGACTCACGGGCAGCCTTGTTCTGGATCGGCAGCAGGATGCCCAGTGCTCTACAACCGTGCGGTTATCCGACATGAGCTACACCTGGGGAGCCAAGTGTGTCCTGTGCCCCTAACTCCCTTCGCTCTCGAGCAGCTGCGTTAATATGTAGCGGACAGCAAGGCTGTCAGGGAGGGGGCTGGGTAAGGTCGTGGATGCAGAAGGCTGGTATCTGATGGGAGAATTTCTGGCCAGTGAAGAGGGCTGACTTCTCCCTGCCAAGTCTGAAAAGCCGTTCCTCTTGATAAGCTGCTGTTCCAGATAGCCTCTGCTGGCCTGGCGTCCTATCTTCCCCCGGACACACCTCCCAGAGGTTGTCACGTGAGAGAGATTCCACCGACGGGGTGCGCTCACAAGAGAGCTGGAAGGAAGACGGGAGGCACAGGCCATCTTTCTGGGCTGTGGAGCCTGAGAGGCGACCTCTTACGGAGTGAGCACAGTGGCCAGATCCTGTATTCCACTGTCCAGTCACCAACTTCAGGAGACTGGGACAGCTTCACGGCCGCATTTGTGGGAGCAGGGACAGGAGCCGCTTTCTGAATGGCCACCGCAGCTAAAGGAGGTATGACCTTGAAACAAACCCGACTTCCCCTCCTCCAGCCCTCTGACACTTCTGCACGAGCACCTAAATCCCTCTCTGCTTAAAACGATCAGGGTGGTCTCTATTTCCTGTCCAAACCCTAACTGACGTGGTCAGAACCAGCAGGCTCAGAACTCTAAGAAGTGACATTAGACGGAAAGGTTTTTCAGAAAGATAACATTAAGTAATAATTAATTAGCTGTTGCTCACTCTAGTTTCTGAATCCTTAACGGGAAATGTTTCTAAGGTATGAGCACAGCGATCTGGGACAAACCCAGTATGCCGTCGTGGAAGCAACACCCAAAATCAGGACTGTCCACGACCAGGCACCATGGCTTCTCTTGTTTAAATTACCTGCCTCTCTCTTTTAAAAAAATTTTTTAATGTTTATTTTTGAGAGAGAGAGAGAGAGAGAGAGGCAGAGAGAGAGGGAGACGCAGAGTCTGAAGCAGGCTCCAGGCTCTGAGCTGTCAGCAGTGTCTGATGTGGGGCTCGAATCCATGAGCAGTGAGATCATAAAGTCAGATGCTTAAGCAACTGAGCCACCCAGGAGCCCCTACCTGCCTCTCTCTTTTATACTTAAGAAGATTAACGACAACAATGTCTTCTTATGATTTTGCCTTTCTCCTTCGGGGCACCGATAAGCCAGGCAGGCTTCTCCGTGGATGCTGTCTCCCACAGAGGTGCAATACTAACGAGCACGCAAACATCTAACAACACGATGAAGGACATGAAGGCTAAGGAGCCGCCACGCCCCACACCTGAGACGTAACCTTCTGCAGGAACAGCACAGCCCACGAAAACGCCCACCCCACCCTGGTCACGGTTTGCAAACGTGTTCTATTCACAGACACGGGCCACACTGACACAAGGCAAAAAGGCCCAGCCCATTCCCGCAGGACTGACAAAGCCGACCTCACCATGAATACCTTAGCACCTTCAAGGTCTCTACCCAGTCCTTCTGAAGACTTTCCCAGGTGTCAACTTCCACCCATTCTGAATTCTTGGTGGCTAGTTCTGCCATGATAACTCGGTGGTGGGCAGAGATGAGTCCTTTCTTCTTATACGCATCGCCCACAGGAGAGATGACGCCTTTGATGACTCTGTATTTTCCTGGATAAAGAGTCAGATTTGAAGCGAGGTGTAACAAGTCAGATTTTACACACAGGAAGGATTATCATCACTCTGGTTTTATAACAGAGTCCCGCCCCCTGGGGTTTCAGAAAAGGGATTTAGGTTCTCTTTATCTTTCTCTTTCTTTCTCTTTCTTTCTTCCCATCCATCCATCCATCCATCCATCCACTCATTTATAAACAAGGTGAAACAGGCATAACATAAAATTCGCCACGTTGACTGCCTTCGTTGTACAGCTCAGGGACATCAGGCACATTCACATCTCTGCAGCCATCCAACCATCCGTCTCCAGAACTTTTGCACCTTCTCCAACTGAAACTCTGTCCCTATTCATCACTAATTCCCCACCCCCTACAGAATCTAAATTTTGATATTGCCAAATTGCCTCGTAAAAAGCCTTAATCAATTGGTATTGTTCACCTACAGTGTATACGAGAGCCCATTTCTCCTCAACTTCTGATACTTGACATTATCAAGTTTGAACATTTTTGTCCATGTGATGGGCAAACTAGACCTCGTTTTTTATCTTCGTTCCCCAATTATTAGGATTATTGGTGAGTTTAAGCACCCAGGCGTCCATCTATCTATCAGCCTATAGCATGATCCTTTACATTACAAAATATATTATGTAGGGGAGAAAATCATTTTCCTTGACCCTCCTTGGGTCCCTGGCTGAGTCTGAAAATTAAACTGACAATGGGGCGCCTGGGTGGCTCAGTCGGTTGAGCGTCCGACTTCAGCTCAGGTCATGATCTCACAGTCCGTGAGCACAGGCCCTCGTCAGGGCTCTATGGCAACTCCGGGCAGGAGCTTGCCCGGATTCTGTGTCTCCCCCTCTCTCTGTCCCTCCCCTGCTCATGTTGTCTCTGTCTCAAAATAAATAAAAACATTACAAAATAATAAAAAATAAATAAAAATTAAACTGACAAAGAAAAACATAGAAATTTATTTAATAGAAGGCTTATGTTACGTGGTACCTTCGTAAGGAAATAACAGTTAAACCTGGGTATTTTTATGTCAGGTTTGGTGAAGAGTGGACAGTTGTAGAGAAAAACGGTAGGGCAAAGAGTTTGAGGTACGTTCACAAAATTCAGGGAAATTTAGCAAGGCCTGTTAGTTTAGATTCTTCTAGGCATCGATTTGCCTTTAGTAATAAGGATGCTCCTTTCCTCCCGGTATAGGGAGGGCACCTCCCACAGGAAGGTTTGTTTGGTTAGTTGGTTGGCGTTTTTTTTAAGTTTAGCATTTATTGGCCGAGGAAGCGTGAGAATGAACACAAAGCGGGAAAGAGCAGAGGGAAGGAGAGGAGAGAGAGAGAGAGAGAGAGAAAGAGAGAGAGAGAGAGAGAATGAATCCCAAGCAGGCTCCACGCTGTCAGCACAGAGCCCAACGCAGGGCTCGATCCCACAACCCTGAGATCATGACCTGAGCAGAAACCAAGAGTTGGATACTTAACTGAGTCACCCAGGCCCCTCATGTGAAGGTTTTTTGAGCTGCTTCCGAGAAGGGTGGGGAGGAGGTCAGAGTGACCTTCCTGTTTCTGCCATTTTTTCAAACTGCTTCAGCTTAAAATGTCCAATGTGACAAAGGGCCATATTTTGGGGTAGTGGCCTGAACCCTATTATTGCTTTTGGCTACTGTTCCTACCTGTTCCGTTCATGTAGTCCTTGGCCAGCTCAAATAGCCTCAGGTGCATGTTGGTGATAGGATTAAAGGAGCCACAAGCAAGAAGAACCACTTCTGTCTTCTCTGAATTCTCCATGCTAAGAATTTGAAGTTGTTGATCTAAATGGAAAACTCGGACACCCTGCTCGTTGTCTGCAAAGGAAAAGAACATACGTTCAGCTATAGGTCTTTAGTGGCCTTTCACATTCCCATTCCAAGTGAATGGATAAAAATATTTGGCTTCGGGGCACCTGGGTGGCTCAGTCGGTTAGGCGGCCAACTTCGGCTCGGGTCATGATCTCACGGTCCGTGAGTTCGAGCCCCGCGTTGGGCTCTGTGCTGACCGCTCAGAGCCTGGAGCCTGCTTCAGATTCTGTGTCTCCCTCTCTCGCTGTCCCTCCCCTGTTCATGCTCTGTCTCTCTCCGTCTCAAAAATAAATAAATGTTAAAAAAAATTAAAAAAAAAATATTTGGCTTCGATGACAAGGACAGCCCCATTTCTCCACCCTTCCTCTTCACTGTGAATTTGCAGCTCCTGCCAGAAAGGGATGGAATCTCCTTCCCCCTCTTTGTGACTTGCTTCGGACAAGAGAATGTGGCAGTTAGGACAGTGTGCTAGTTGAGGTCTGCACACTTCTGCTCTCTTTTGGCCTCCCTCCTCTGCCATGAAAACAAGCCGAGGCCAACCTGCTGGACAGAACACGTGGGAGACAGCTGGTGCCCCCGCTGACAGCCAACCACTGGCTGTGCGGCTGAGGCCATCCTGCACCAGCCAAACCACAGACAACGTGCTCAGACACACAGCCCAGATGAGATCAGCTGAGCCTGGCTTACATCAACAAACCCACAAGCTGACCCTAGACTCATAAGCAAAAATGAAATGTGCATGCTGCTGAAGTTTTATGACTGCCCTACTGTAGCTCCAGTTAGCTGATACAATGATGTTATCAACTACCACATAAACGGAACTCCCTGACAACCTGCCCTTCAAGACAGTAGTCGGCCTCTTAGTCAACATGATCACATTATCACTTTCAGCTCAGGAACAGTTTACAATTTACAAACCTTTTTTCATATTATTCCATTTGATCCTTCTATAACCCTAATGAAGTAATACAAGACAACAGATTTAAACTTTTATTAAATGAACTCAGATAGATTCAGAAATTACGAGGCAGCAAAAGGCCCATAATGAAACCCAACAGTCATTGGCCACATCCTGCTCACCAAACCCTCTATGCAACTCCCTTAAAAGCAAGCACTTTTAACTTTTTCAGCTATTTCTTCTGGTAGATTCTACCATATTTCTATACTATGTGCTTATAATGCTATTTCTAAATTTATCCAAAGTAAACAGTACCTGTTTACTATGATGGTCCATGAGGATTAGCTCTCACACGCCCTCACTGCCTATTCCCAAACTTCTACATGTATATCTATCTATAGTTTCTAGTCTGTGTTGAAAGCCGTCTTCTCCTAGAGTTGTGAAGGCATCCCTTGTAGATTGCAGTGTTAACAGCGATAAACCCAAAGTCACTCCCAATTCTGGATCCTTTGAATGTGACTTACATTTTTCCTCCCCTGAAGCTTGTGAGATCTTCTCTTTGTCCCCAGCATTCCGAAATTTTACAATGATGTCCTCTATGTGACTCTATTTTCATCTGTTGTGCGGGGCACTGGGCAGACCCTTTCAAACTTGAGGCTCATAAACTTCAGTTCTGGGAAAGGTCCTTGAATGATGACATTCTGCCTTCCGTTTTCTTTGTTCTCTTTGGAAATGGCTATTATTTGGAGCTGAGGCAGCTGGACTGGTCTTCTCATTTTCTTTTCTTTTCCCTCTTTCCTTTAAGCTCTAATTTCTAGATATTCTCAACTCCATCCTCCATCTGTTGAGCTGATTTTCAGTTCTGCTATTATAGCCTTCATTTTAAAGACCTTTGTCCTCTAGGGGCATCAGGGTAGCTCAGTCGGTTAAGCGTCCGACTCTTGATTTCTGCTCAGGTCGTGATCTCACGGTTTGTGGGGTTGAGACCCGTGTCGGGCTCCGTGCTGACAATGTGGGGCCTGCTTGGGGTTCTCTTTCTCTCTCTGCCCCTCACCTGCTTGTGCTCTCTCTCTCTCAAAATAAATAAATAAACTTAGAGAAAAAAAAAAGACCTTTGTCCTCTAAATGTTCCTTTTTATGGTGTTCTGTTCTTTCACCAATGCATTCTTATCTACCAACATGAATGATACATTTTCAGTTTCTTTCAACAAGAGCTGATAGGAAGTTCTGAGTGGGTGAGTAGGGCCCATGTACAATGGACTTCACTGTATGGTAACCTGGCAGTCAGTGTTGCAGGTCTCGCCCCTGGGACCGGCCGGATTCCACAGAACAGTATCCTCCAATCTCCTGTCTGTTATAGCACAACAGTTAAGAACCTGTGCTCTGTGGGGCACCTGGCTGGCTCAGTTGGTAGAGCATGCAACTCTTGATCTCTGGGTCACGAGTTCAAGCCCCACGTTGGGCAGAGACATTATTAGAGACATTATGGGGGGGGGGGGCGGGAAGCAACCTATGCTCTGAAACCAGACTGCCTGCATAGAAATCACCTACACGGGCTGGATGACCCAGGACAACCTGACCTTAACCTAATCTTCCTTTGTCCCGGTTTTCTCAGTCTTAAAATAGAGAAAATAACAGTACCTACCTTGTGACCATCATGAGGATTAAGCGAGACAATACACGCAACTGCTTTTGACAAGAAATAAACACACTGTGAATGTAGCTACTATTAATGCTGCACATAATGTCACTATAGTTCAACTCTTTTTAATCTACAAAAACATGAATTTCAAATGGTTCAACCAAACATTATTACTCTATTGACTCTGGTTTTTTTTCCTGGAGGGTTTTTCTCCCGGAACTCATTCTCTAATGTGGACTGAAAGTCTCTAATCCTTTGTACGGCTATCATTCTGAAACCTTTTTCATCTCTCTTCTGAGTCAGATCCCCTATTTCTGAGGACCGCATCATGTCTTTCTTGGTTTATGTCCTGATTTTTCTAGAACGTATCCTCAAGTAGCTTCAAAATAAAAGGTACATGGGAAATAAGTTTGGTTATGTCTTTATCCTTCCTTCAGAGATGAACGGCTTAGTTGAGAAAAAAGCAAGTTGAAATTATTTTCTTTTAAAATTATGAATGCATTTCTTCATTGTCTCCTAGCATACCACACTCTTGCTGAAAGTCTAATGCCATTCTGATTCTTTTCCTTTTTTACATACCTTTTTTCTTTTTGGAAGATTTGTAGGATGTCTTCCTTATCCCCAATGCTCTGACTCTGAAATGCCACAATGTTGTGTCTTAGTGGGGGTCTTTTTCATTCATTGTGCCGGAAGTCAGCTGAAGAGGTTCAGAATGTGCCAGTTTGGCATGTGGATTATTTTGAGCAGAAGGTACTGAGAACCCTGTGGGCTCAAGAGAAACTTCTGCCCCTCCCTTAAGAACACAGAAGAATCTAAATTGGAGGTCTTTCTCAGAATAAGGGTTATTAGGGGAGATAAATTTTATCTGAGTGACCCATCTGTATAGCAGGGCAAATGTCTAATTACCAAACATGTTTTTATCGCCCCACAAAGTGCATTACTCTCCTCTGAAAACACAGACCCCTACCCCTTCTGACTTCAGAGTGACATACAGACCTCATGTTGCCTGACTTTGGAATTCCGGTGTCCATGTGGATCCCCCATATGTACACCTGTTACTGTTGTTTTATTCCTCTTAACCCCTCTCATGTCACTCTGATTCTTAGTCCAGCTAGAAAGACTTCTGAGAACACAGGAGTTCTTGCTCCCCAACACAGTGAGCCTTCAAATCTCTTAAACTCAAATCACTCAGTTTTGGGTTTTTTGATAAACTGCTTATTAACTATCAAAAAATAGTTTTGTTATTGTAAAATTTAAAAAAATATTTTTTTAAGTTTATTCACTTATTTTGAGAGAGTGCATACGCACGAATGGGGAGGGACAGAGAGCAAGGGAGTGAAAGAGAATCCCAAGCAGGCTCTGCACTGTCAGCACGGAGCCCCAAGCAGAATTTGAACTCACGAACCGTGAGCTCATGACCTGAGCCGAAACCAAGAGCCGGACGCTTAACTGACGCCACCCAGGCGTCTCTAAAAAATATTCTTATATATCCAAATTATGTTTCAAAAGAATCATTCTGAGAGCTTATAAATATAATTCCAATGATGCCAAATTGCTAGAAGCATGTGGGGAACTTTGGGGAAATTACCTATACAGGCTGGAGTATTTTTCCAATTAATGTAGAAATACAATGAAAGATAATAAACACACAGCTGTATGATACTTTTCAATGGATAAAATGTGTTCACACACCTATCATTCAAGCCTCACCACCAAAAACAAATTTGGCCAAAGTCATTTAGCTTGTTCCAAAAAATAAGCTATTGTTAGATATTTCGTTTTTCTAGTTAATCTTCCACCTCTGGACATTTAGGTCTTTCTAACTTTTCAGTATTACATCTGAGATCAATAGTGGGTTGAAAATGCGCTGGAAATAGAGGCTGTCATATACCTCACTGTGCACTTCCAAGACTTCCCAGTGCTCAAACAACCTGTGTCAGGACCACTGATTTATAGCCCAACAATGTCTAGACCCAAGTGCCAGGGTGACCAAGTCACTTTTGCTCAGATTCTATGCTCTCATTGGACAAAGACAGTGAGTGGTAGACCCAGGGCCACTTGATTCCTGATTCCTAGACTCGCTCATCAAAAGAAAAATGGGAGACCTGGGTGGCTCAGTAGGTTGAGCATCTGACTTTAAAAAAAAAATTTTTTTTTTTACATTTATTTATTTTTGAG